ACGTGTGGGGAATGGGTTGGCTTTAGGTGATGCGCCCTTGCCTCCTGTTCTCATGTTCAGGACAGAAAGGGAGTCTGGGATTCGTCAGACACTGGACTGGCTTCAGGCAGTAGGCGCTTCAGCTCCAGCTCTGTGAGTTTTCCTGTACTCTCAAACCCAGTTCGAGGGAAATACCAGAAAGAGTATCCTCTTTTGTGCAAATTATTGTATGTGAGCTGCTTAATGATTTACAGAAGAGCAGGACATAAGGCTAGCAGAAATCCTCAGGTTTAGGAAGAAGATGAGCCTTTCCGAAGACCCTTTCCTTGCACTGTGCTGGGGGCTCAGAGTAACATTTGACACCCAGGCTGTCAACAGGCTTCTCACTCCTCCTAGTCAGAACCCCTCTCTGGTCACATTTATGAGGGGGAGGGGGGCGCTTCCACTAGAAGCCCCTGTGTCATGGTATCAGCTCGAGATGGGTACAAAAGCCACCGAATACTGTTGCCCCCTTTTGTAATTGAAGGTGAAGCCAGAGGTGTTACACAGTTTTCTCTTTCTTTTCTTTCTATGCTAAGAACCATTTTCTCCCACCTCCTAGAAATATCCTCCAGCCAGGAAGGGGCTTCTTTTCTTTGTTGCCCACTATGGAGGAGTTAAGGCATGGCAGGAAGCAATCCTATAGGGATGTGATAAAAATTCCATTGAATTTATCTTGTTTCAGTGAAGCTGGTAGGGGAGTCAGATTAGCTTTTCCTGATTCAGTATTCCAGGCTTACTGCCCAGGATGGTTGGTCTGACCCCAGGGAGACTCTGTGTCAGATCCTAGAATGGAATTATGTGGCTACCATTGTCACTCACATGTTTTTTTTTTTTTAAATTTCACCTTTAACGTGTGTGTGTGTGTGTGTGTGTGTGTGTGTGTGTGTGTGTGTGTGTGTGAGAGAGAGAGAGAGAGAGAGAGAGAGAGAGAGAGAGAGAGAGATATTCGTGGTCAGAGCACATGCCGAGGTTTGCAGGTTTGATTCCTGGTTGGGGTGCATGTGGTAAGCAATGAATCGATGTTTCTCTCTCTCCCTCTTCCTTTCTGTCTCTCTAAAATAATAAAAACATATTAAAAAATACTTAAAAAGAGAATCTTACACTTTTTACTGCTCAAACATCCCTCCCTCTATTTACTTATTATTTTCAAAAGGCTTAATTTTATCCTTTTAAAATACCATAGTAAATATTTTATAGCCTATATGTATAAAATTTGCCAAATAATTTTCAAACTATGTTTCTATATTGTTTTCATATATTGACTTACCTGTGGGTTCATTTTTATTCTTATTGAAGAATATACTTTATTAGTAGACTGAGGATCTTTAGGTCCTCAGTACCTTCTTATTTGCATATTTAATAATGCTGTACTTTGCCCTAGTTCATTCAGGATTATTCTCGACAACATAACAATTTAGAACAGCATTTTGCTCCTCTTAGCACATTAATGATAGTACTAGTTGTCTTCAGACTGTGTCCTGCTGTTGAGAAGTCACTTTCAGTTGAATTGTTCCTGTAAATATAATTGTATTTTACCTTTGATAACTTTTACTATTTCCTCTTTTTTTTGCAAAATTTTTAAAAAGTTATATTTTCATTGATTTCAGAGTGGAAGGGAGAGGGAGAGAGAGAGAGAATGATTGATTAGCTCCTTCCTGCACGCCCCACACTGGGGATCAACCTTGAAACCCTGGGTAGGTGACCTGACCAGGAATCGAACCGTGACCTCTTGGTTCATAGGTTGGTGCTCAACCACTGAGCCATGAAGGCCGGGCTACTATTTCCTCTTAATCCTGGAGAAAGTAAATTATATAAAATAGTTGAACAAAGACTGTTTAAGAGTCAAATGAAATTATAGCTCCTACTAAATATCATAAACCTCATGAAATAATAAAGGAATATAATGGAGCAAACAAAACAATGGATGTAAAAAGAATCCACTTAAAAATTTTGGAAAGCAAAAATAAAGTAATTAAATTTAAAAAAATAACGAAGCAGATAGGATAAATTTCAACGTGGTATCAGTCATAGAATAACTGTACAATTAGAATATAGTTGTGAAATGTCTAGAACAGTGTGAAGACAGCAAAAGAGAAAAATATCTGAAAGGGTAATTAATTAAGAGACATAAGATAGGTTGACTGACTGCATCATTGTTTGAATAGGTATTCCATAAAGTGTAGACACAGTGAAGTTTAGAGAATGGAAGAAAGACAATAGTCAAAGAGATAGGGAGGATAAATGGTGATGGAGGGCACTTGAGGTGGTGAACACACAATACAATATACAGATAATGTATATAGAATTGTACACCTGAAACCTATATAATTTTATTAACCAATGACACCCCAAAAAATTCAATAAAAAAACATATAAAAGAATTTACATTCATTGAGAATTTATTTTTTATTTATCCTACTAGAGGCCCAATGCATGAAATTTGTGCAAGAGTAGGCCTTCCTTCCCCTGGCTGCTGGCACTGGCTTCTCTGGCACCTGGGACCCAGCTTTCCTCGCAGCCCGGCTTCATCCGGAAGGATGTCTGGTCTAATTAGCATATTATGCTTTTATTATTATAGATTTTATTCCCCTAGTATATATTTTTATTAAAAAATTTATGTCCTCTTTAGTTATGAAAAATTCTTCATTTTGCTTGAGGGTACTTTCATCATTTTTATTGCACTCATTAAGTGGAATTGTTTTTTGCAAGTTAAGGACTTATGTCTATTTTTAATTTTGGAATATTTTTGGATAAATCTCTTCAAATAATGTTTCTTTACTATTTTATTCATTCTTTTGCTTTAGAAACTTTATAATATCTAAGTTTAGCCTCTCAGTCTATTATTTGTGTCTCTAAACTACACTTTCAAAAGTGTATTCCTTTGTCTGTTTGTATTAAAATCTGGGTGGACTTAAATGTGACTTTCCAGTATATTACCACCCTCTTTAATGTTAGATCTAGAAATTATTCCCTTTATTGATTTTCTAAAAAAAATCTGTGGCTATATTCTCATTTCCACGGTTTGTAGTTAATCTGTTTTTATACACTGACTAGAGGCCTGATGCACAAAATTCATGCAAGGGGTTTGGTCCTCGCAGCCGCGGCGGCTTGCCTTGGCCCTCACAGCCCTGGCTTCATCCGGAAGGTTGTCCAGAAGGTTGTCTGGAAGGTCGTTCAGCTGTCCAGTCTAATTAGCATACTGTGCTTTTATTATTATAGATTGTGTTTTTATGGCTACATTGTTTATTTTTCATAATGTAATAAGCATTTTAGTAAATATGCCTTTTAAAATTTATTGAAACATCCTATATTTTATGCATTTAATTGCACCTTGAATAAATTCAAGTTTCTAATTGTTTACTTTGTTTTTCCTCTTTAACATGAAATTTGTGTGCTTTCAAATTTTCTTTTACTTGATTTTAATTTGCTTTTCAACCTTTTCTCTTTCCCAGTCTT